TATGATTCTATGATTCTAAATGCTGTGTCGTGGTGGGTGTGCACAAGGGGGCAGAGCTGGGCAGGCAAATTGCATCTCCTGAGCACCTTCTTGCAACTTCGACTACTTCAATGCAATTTTTTAATACACTTGTGCTAATAACCGATTGCTCTGTTCTTAGTTATGTCAGTTAGTGAATTAGAAAGCATGGCTTATAGATATTTTAATATAGTCCAGGTACTCTTGTTAGCATAATTTGGGCATACTTAAATGAATAACAGTATCTTGTTTTAAATTCTTTACAGCAATTCTTCAGAACATGTAAGTGGACATAGGAGTGCTCCACTGTTGGCAATAGAAAAGTTCATTGAATTTTTATTTCAAAATTTACTACAGTTTTGTTACCATACAGTTGTTTTGGTATTAACAGATCCCTATCAGATTTCTGTAAGGTTTTTCAGGCCTTCTTCCACAGACAACCATCTCAGTCTGCAAAGAGCTCTATTTAAATAACAAACAAACAAGACAGGTTTCCTAACTAAACAAACAAACAAAAAGCTTTTTGGCTGATTTGCATGATAATGTTTTTTGAAAGGCTTAAGTTTAAAGTGTCAATATTCAAAAAAGGTAGATATGGAAAACTTGACTTTACACAAGTATAGAATAAAATACAAAAACTGTTTTCACCTGAATGTAGATCTGTACCTGGTTGACCAGTCAGGCCAGAGAGAGAGTCCTGTAACTGGTAGGTTGATGACGATGAAGTGCCATCAGCTGTGTTGTTTGAGGTCATATATGCACCATATGTTGATGCTGAGTAATACTGTGCATATTGATTTTGGCCAAAAGCTGTATATGATGGATAATCCTAAAATAGCAAATGCAGCAGAGTACTTGATTAAGTAGAGGAACAAATTACTTTTCCACTAAGTATTTCTAAGTGTGCAATAATACAATGTTTGCAAGAGTTTGGGGAGTTTAGTTCAGATTTTTTTTTTTTTTTTAAATTTAACGATATTTAACATTTTTAATTTAGGGATATTTACTAAAAGATTAGGGGGAGGTTGCCAAAATATTTAAGTGCCAAAAGGTGCCACCAGGTATCCATTGGGATTTTGATCGCTTTCTACAGAAAACAGTATTGAACCACAGTGTGTCTAATTCACCATAAGAGATATAAATTAAAATAACATGCTATCACTGGACTTACACAAATGCTTTTGTAATTGATAAGCAAAAATATTAATATTCATACCTGTTGTGAACTACTGAAGTTTGTAGAATTTGAAACAGAATTGTTTGCGTAAATAGTGGACGATGGTGTAAAACTAGAACCTAAAATTAAAAAATACAATTAACTGTGAGAACCTCCTTGTGAAACAAAACAAAATTCTAAAAACTGTATTCCGTTATAAGATGCAGATTAATCAGAAGAATGATCAACTTTTATCTTCCATTTAAACAGTACAATATTGTAATGAAACTTTAAAAGAAATTAAATGCTACTTCCATGCATACAGGCATATGCTCCTGTTCACACCATGCAAGGATGGTATTGGCAGTAAGTCATTGCACCAATCAAGAAAGCATTTTTCAATTTAATGCACTGTCTTACCTCTCCTCAAATACTGTTTTTCTCTTTTTCCTTAATTTCTAAGTTCTAACACTTTAGTGTATGTTCATTTATGAAGCAAAAAACCTTTCAAAGAATATTTAACTTCTCCAGGTGTTATAAATTGATCTGTAATGAGGCATGTCCTTGTTTTCAACATGTCAGATGATTCACATAGTAAGTTGTAATATTTAGAGATTGTATAAGACAAAGAGAAATAAGTATCAAACAATGTCATACTCTGAAACATGGAAACAAGGAAGAGTGACTTGTGTATGCTAATAAATACCAGAAATGCTTCCAGTCCTGCCATGTGATTTCACCCCATGAGAACTGAAGGTGCAAACAGGGACTGAATTGCATAACCGTATCTAAATGAACATATGACCAAAATGTATATATAGAATACATATGTGTGTGTTAGTACTGGAAAAAAATACTTAGCTTTAAATTTTAGAGGTAGAAGTAGCTGCCAATGAGAACTGTTATTGCCAGAGTTCACAAAAATGGAAAATATATTACAGATAAAGAGTGGGCTATCAGCAGCAGTGGGATGGGATGAGCCCTGATGGTGGTGGCTACTCACCTGGCATCTGATAAGAGTAGGGTGTTTGGCCTGGCTGTGGGGTGGAAAACCCTGGGCTGTAACTGAGGCACCCGCTCTGCAGTGGTGATTGGGTCTGCGAGAGCCCACTTTCTGTCTTGATGCCTGGCAACATTACACCCAAATCTGTATAAGAAATTAATTTTCAACCGATTCTTTAAAATATTTTCTTACAGTTGGGAAAATAAAAAGAAAGCAAGCGAAAAACATTCATGTTGGCATCTCTCTTATTTTCAGGTAAGGTGAAGGAATAGGAAAGAGGTTCGGTACCGTAAGTGGGCAGGCTGTAGGGCTGTCCTGTCTGTGAGTAGGCTGTATAGACCGCTGGTTGCTGCATTCCTGAATACTGGGTTTGTCCCGCATAGGCAGACATTGTTTGAGCTGCTGGTGTAGAAAGAATGTGTGGATAGGGCCTAAATATCAGGAAAAATAGCATTACTGTGGCAACAAATACTTTGTATGTTGATTCAAGCAATAAAATATAGAAAAAGGTTTAAAGATGTCCAAAGGCAGTTCATTATTCTGCCAACTGTTCCTCTTCTGGGATTTATTCCATCCCCCAATGAAATAAGCTGAAAACTACTCCAGCTCACATTCCCCAGGGCATCGTGAATATTTCTTGCTGTCCCATCACTACAATTTAATTCTCAGGCTACTGTCCAGCCATAGATGGACTGTGCCACTGCCATACGGCTTCGTGTGGATTTAACCCCTTTCAGCCAAGATCAGCATGCTTAAATCAGAAAAGTCTCCATGGTTTTTTTTTAGTCCAGTTGAGGGAAACGTGAACTAAAAGAATAAAGGGAATACAGAGGTGAACGTTAAAGCTACTACATTATGTCCCCTGTGTATGGTTCTGCTTCAGCAGACATCTAGCCTCTGGCTTCAGTGAGAGGTGGATCGTGCCCATCGAGAGCAGCATGAAAAATATTGATGGCAATACTTTGGTAACCAGATGGGCTTTAAACATTTGGAAAATATGGGTTAGTGAAATAGAATGGAAATAAAAATGGTCTTTTATTTATGAATACTGGGGTTTTATAGAGAGGTTGGATAAAATCAAGTTTAATATTTTTGCCCTCCAGAGCTGCAAAAACATACAGAGAAACATTTGTCTTGGATTGTTTTGTAAGTCAAGTAAGACTTTATGGACCAAGAGTTGAATAAACACACTCTGCAGAATTATGCTAACTGAAGCCTGGCCATTAAAAGCCATGACTAAATTTCAGATTCTAATTTTTAAAATTTTTTTTCTTTCTAATTAGCTCCGTACAGTTGGCAGCAGTTACTATCAAAAAGGATTACTCATTAATTTAGATGCCAATAAGTTATAACACTAGACTAAAAATTCTATTAAACCTTGTAATGTATTTGGCCAAAAGTATCTGATATAGTTTGCCAAAACCTATTTTAAGGGGAATGAGGGCTGTTCTTAGTTCAGACACCTACTTTCTGTATCAATAAATATTGGCTACTATGACATAAATGCAGATTTGTTAAAGAAACCTGAAAGAGCCTAACTGGCTCCAGTTTCAATGTTTTCTCTGTATCAAAGTCACACAGGTAGATGTATCAAATACATGTAAACTAATAGATGATATACTGGCATTAAGCACCCATGCACAACACTGATTGTAGGACAAACAAACTAGTAAGACTGCCAGCTGCAGCAGTTTCATATAACATCTTCAGTGCTTTTTCCTAAATTTCCCACTCCTGAATTCATATCAGAGAGTGTTTTCCTCATAAAAAAAAAAAAAAAAAAAAAAAGAAAGAAATTTTCTATTCATAACAATATCCATTGGATTAAAAATAATTAAAGAAACATATTAAAAGCTAATCCAATTTATTTGATTTTTAAACCTTATGCTATCGGAGGAGGAGGAAGAGGTGGTTCATGACTGAGGAATGTTTGGAAGTGTTTGGCAATGCTGGTACTGGGAAGGTCTGTGACAGGGTTACCCCTCAGTACACATTTTGCACACAGAATTGTGATTTCTAAATATAAACTGTGCACCTGTACACATTGCCAGCCCTACTAAGATGCTGATATCTGACAACGTAATAGTCTGATTTTTTTTCCTTCTGTTGTGTGCAGACATTCAATAGTATTTCTTGTGCAGCAATACTGCACAGAGCAGGGTCTCACTCTGCAGCCATGTGAGGAAAAAAAATGTTGGAGAGAGACCTATAATGGAGTCAGTACTGAGGCTTAAGTATTTTCCTCTCTCCGTTTCTTCTGCTGATGAACAGTTGTCTGCAACAAACCACAAAACTGCCTCCAGCCAAGGTCAATTCCCTATAAAAGACTAGAAGACGTGCAGACACTAACTTGGAGGGATATATCTGTGGAGAGTACTGGTGCGCTGATCTTGGGCTGTAGCCACTACTTGTTATTACTGCAAAAAAGAAAACAAGAGTATGCAGTTAGAAACATCATGAGAGCAATACAGCCAAATAGTCTGAATACTAAGTCAACAACATTTGAAGTTTGTTGAAATGGACAGCTTTTCAGCAAAGTAGATATCACCTGAACTGCAACACCTTAATACAAAAATTAAAAAATCCCAAATCACTCATCATTATACAGAACTCCTTAGCTGGTATGGATGTGTCATGCTTTTGCAGCTTAACCGACATGTTTCTGAGTATATTGCAGAGGTATATATATTTCTTACATCATCTATGATCCACACACCACAGATATTTCAAACTTACAAACTGTATTAAAATTTGTCGTTAAGAAGAATCTCGTGATTTAACTTATGGCATTGCATGGGATTGAAATAACATACACATACTTTCAAAGTCTCACATTAACAAATTGAATTTTAATACTGGCTAGGAAAAATGTTTTACATGGGTCTAGTTAATTTTAGCCATCTTAGGTGATGGAAGATAACGGACTGACTACTAGAAAGCAAGCATGATTTGTCATCAGCAAGCTGAGTAGAATACACCCACTAACAGCAATATTTTTATTTCAAAAGCAAGCATAAACAGTCCTGCCCAGTAGCCATCAAAACTGTGTATGTGTATACTATTCACAGCTGCATTCTTCCAAGAAAACTAACCGAAAAATAGTCATATCCCATTAAAATTTCATTCAGGAGCGGTGCTCATACTGGATTAATTCCAAGTGTTTGGAAGTTTCTCTTTCCTTTAGCCATCTGTCTTGACTAAGACAGATGTATTCCAAATATATGTTCTCTAAAGTGTTGAACCAATCCCTTCAGAGCAAATCCATACTGGGCAAACATACACAGTGTCTTTATAAGGCCATCTGCTGTTCATTCACTTTTCAAAAGATTAAAGTAGTACACAACGAAGCAGTGGAATTTCTTTAGTCTAATCAATCATAGTTGTACTTCAAAGTGTACCCTCTTCCTGAGTTGTTCATAATGGTAGTAGAAACGAACTTTCAGAATTAAATAAGTGACAAAGAGGTTTAGGTTCCAAACTATTTTATGAAACATGATATATTTCTACATCCAGGCCTAATTAACGTCTTTGAGATCTATTGCTTTGAACATATGCAAAACTTCATATTTTTAAAGCAAGTTTAAATGCATTTAGAACATACAGGACTTTAAAGGAAAATGCAGTGGAAGAAAAACAATTACCTTCTTTTTTAAACGTGCGGTTGAATATGGCTTGAAAATAAAGAAGAACTACATAATTTTGGAACACGTGCAAACAGATTTCATAAAAGAGTTGCTGATTGAAAAGAAATTGAGGGTTTGCCTGTTATGGATATATGATGAATTTAATTTTGTGTGGATATTTGTGCTTGGGTTTTTTTTTTTGAGAATGCTTTTCTATGGTTTAAGCTCAATCCACAGCATGATCTACTAGGTGTGCATACAGCTATTCTTGGAGTTAGACAAACCTATAGATGTGTATCTCAACGTAATCAATCTATAGAACTCTACAGGATGCTCTTCATTATTTAAGGCTCAAAGAGTAATTAGTCTTCCCTGTTGTATCCTTATGACCTTTCTAAAGACAAGCAATAGCTAACAGGGTGACCTTGGTGATTCTCAGGGCAAGGAACTTTTGTGATCCATTATCAGCTTATCGGATCTTTTTCACCCACACTGTTCTACTTTTTGTCTGATCATTTGCTGGATGACAGCTCATTTGATTAATCAGTTTGCTTAAAGCACATTTACCATTTCATTACTCCTGATGTAAACTACCAAAAAAAATTACTGCTCACTTAAAATCACCTGAGCTATCAAAACCTCATGTTTTTCAGCAAAAATTGTCCTGCCTGCATTTTTATTCTTTCTGCATATGCCTGATTTTATAAATTCAGAAAAGAAAATAAAATACTTTGGGAATGTGTTTGCTTTTAGATTTCCTTTTTATTTTATTTTTTTTTAAATTCAATTTCCCTGATGATACTACCAGTTGTACAGGAGAAAAAAAAGAGGCAAATGTCCCCAAAGTAAATTGTGTACCTTCCAAGCCGTTTCTTTCACTCTTTCTGTGGTATCTTGTCCCATTGATGTGTGCACTACATTTTAGCCTGTGACATGTTTGAGGAACACAGGGTGTAAGATCTGCCATAACAGACCACTATGACTGAGCAGAGCCTGTGGACTACATCTGTATCTCGTAGATCAGATTGGTAATTCTGAGGGTTATCAAACAACTTCCACTGCTCAATAGCTTCCTAACCCTATTGACAATAGAGAGGGTGGTAGAGGCAGGCTGTTAACAGTTTTTATAACCGCACCACTTTGTAAAGCCATTTATGTGAATAGTGCTAAATACTGATTTATGTTCTTGATATTAAACCCAGAATCAAAACTGTTTCTTCTCTGAAAAACTCAAATATTTCTAAGAATTTACTACTTGAAATGATCGGAGGAATGTTCTTCAGGGTGGGTACAAGACCCTTGATTTCTGCAGTTTCACTACAGTGGTGAGGGCATATAGACCTCACCTAATGCTGATTCATAGAGGGAACAAGAAGCTGACAGCCAGGTCTTACCAGTTCCCCTATTAGCTCAAATGCCAAGGTGGCTGTGGAGAATTTAAATGACCATAAAGTGTTCAGATAGCACCTGTTGCATTCAGTATATTAACATACACTGGAGTTTTGTGTTGTTTCATTATGTATCTGGAAAATTACATGAAAAGAGGTTGGGTTAAAAGGAACTAATTTAAATAACAAATCACAATGTTGTGGAATAATTACTGAAGGTGACTTAGAAATTAAGCTTATATTAAAGGTACGGCATTGTTCACGCACTAAGGAAATGTTAAGAAGGATATCGCTCAGAATCTAAGCCTAGCCACTCCCAGTCCCTCTGATACCTGAAGGCAAGCTAGAACACAAGGGGGTTCATTTTCTGCCAAATTACCTTTTAACACAACAAATGTCTATACACAAAGGGACTAAATGTAGGTTATACAGCAGTGGAGGTTCCTAACTTCAACTTTAGAGACTTCAGAAATAGTCTTCTATATCCTTTCTGTGTGTAAGAAATACTAGGTAAAAGGGATGATGAGAACTTCAAATGTCTCTTCCTCTGCTTCATTAAAATCATAAACAGTTCTCAAATTAATCGAGTATTGTAAGCCATATAAACAGAAGAATGCATGTACTCACTGTATGGAAGCTGCAGCAAATTTGCAGAGTACAAAAATGCTCAGTTCAAGGCTGTTCTGCAGCTCTCCACGTCCTGTGAATACCTCCCCCCACCCCAAATGGGAGTCTGCTGCAGGACCACAAAGCTTCAACTCAAGTATACCAGTACTAATTACCAACTCTCATTCTTTGAAGAAAATGAAGGAAGAGGGGTGTGCAACATGACTCTCCACCTGGCTAACCCTTGCTAAGAGGCACAGTTTCTCCCAGGGGCAGCTCTGCAGCACCGAGGAACCAGAGGCCTGAGCGGGAGCTGCAACACATGAGCAGCAGCCCTGAGAAGAAGCTTGCCCAACAGCCTGGGCAAAGTCACTGTGGCAGTTGTCACTCTAAATTCAAGAGACCTATGTGCTTTATTTTTCAACTTTTCGATCCAAAATTGGGGTTCTTCATGGTTACTTGTGAAGCTTAATCTGTCTCTCCTGGTCCACAGCCATCACTTTCTGTGTTACAGCTGGCCATTATGGACAGAGCTGGCTACTTTACACCCCACAGGGCTTGTTCAGCCTTCTGCTCAGCTCCAGGACATCTCACAGGCTGTGACTGCCCTTGGAGCATGGAAATCAATTTTAATGGGTAGGATATTTGAAGGCAAGGATTTCTGCATGGCAAACTCAAAAGGGTCTCAGTACAAGATTTCTCTTTCACCTGTCTCATTACAGAAAATATATTAATAACATACCTAAATTCTTACCTACTCAAAAAGGATGCTAGAGTCCTTCTAACCTATGCTTGTATAAGACAGAGTAGGTGATACCCCTGCTAGTGGCCTATATGTTTAGGCATCCTCACAAAATGAGCTCAGAGGTGTGCTTAAAGCTGTAGGAAAGCACTAGCATTATCACTTTGTCACAGCGGGGGCACGTATGTATGTCACTTACGTGACTGTTAAGAAAACCCAAACTGTTCAGTGTTGGGTTTTGTTATGCATTGTTTTCAGTTGCAGCTTGCTTGCTTGAAATGACATCTTCCTACCAGTCAACATTTACTGTCTTTGGCAACACATTAAACTTCCCAAATAACTGGTTAGTTAAAAATTCAGAGTTTTTTGGGTTTTTTTTTTGTTTTTTGTTTTTTTTTTTTGGGGGGGTGAGTTCTTTAGCACTTCTGCCACAAAACTGATCAAGTCAAATTGTCCAGTTTGCAAGTACCAGTAAAAGGCAAGTGTAAAAGTTATGGATTTACTCTTTGTGAAGGGCTCAGTCCACTATCGAGGTAGCTCAGTGTCTTGCTCTGATGAAGACTGCACATCACCCAGACAGGCAGACTATTGATTTCCCACTCTGAATGGCCATACTCATTTAATGCTTGAGTTTGTGGCCTAAACTGAGAATCAGGCTCATATTTCTTTTGAGTATGCAGGTGGCTAGCAGACAAAAATGACTGTGTAAGGCTCAAATTCCTGTCTTTTTTTGGAGGCACCGATTGTTTCCAAATCTCCAAAGTGCAGAGATCTCAACACTTCTTTTGAAGTCAGTGGAAGCTAACGGGTGAGTGGCACCTGGGGAAATCAAGCTGTTACTTAGCTATCTAAACCTGAACTGGAGGCTGCGACTTCTGGCACCCCTTTATAAAACTTTGCTTCAGCCACATTTTACAAACAGAGTCCAACTCACGTGTCTTAAATAGATGGCAGAAGCTTATAAAATTTCACCAATAATGACAAAATCATACATGTAGTTAGACATTTTATAATCTGTAAACATTACTAATAAAATTTTAGCATAAACTAACAACAGAGTGAAAAAGAAAAGTTAATTTTTAGCTAAAACTATTAATTTTTTTATGGAATTTATTAAACTGTAAGCTGATGGGATTACTATCAGTTTAATCATAATGAGGATAATGGTTTATTTTCTTCTCATAAGAAATGGCATACACTTGCTTTGCAAAAGACCTTTTTTCAGGCACTAAATTTGTTATAAATGCTTTTCTGAATAACCAGCTTTGGAGTATATAGGCATTTACTGATGCTTAAATAAACTATTTCAGAAACATTCTATTTTTAAAACATTTACATTACACAGAAACACTGTGATTTTTAAAATGTTTTAAACAGGGCTTGACTACCTAGGTCTATGAAAGTAATCGTAGCATCAATCTGGAGTGGTGATTCCCAGCTTCAGTGACGTTTAAGTCAGGTCATCACTGAACTGGTATTTTCAGATGAAAAATTTATTCTCCCACTCTCCTTGCTAATATTATCATTAGCAGGATTCAGCTTAATGATTACATGGCAGATTATCTGTACATTTCCCCAGTTCATTACCTTTATAATTTATAGGAATCTATTTAAAAACTGCTGTTTGCTGATTTTTTTTAAGTACCTGAAACTTACGTTTATTTAAAGTAATATAAAGACTTTATTTTCATGGAGAGAAAGTAGTTTATGGCAATCTGATCAATGTTTAAACTAGCACACTGCTCACAGGAATAAAAAGATTAGCACTGAAATATAACCCTTAAGATCTTAAATTTTACAAATTAGAATGGCTGTTACAAATACAAGCCTTTTTTCCTTTCTAAGATAGTACGAGACTGAGAAAAATCTACAGTACAATGATAATATTATTACTATGTCTTTTGCATACAGTAATTGTCTTAGACATCACTAAAGATTCTCTAAGATCATAGCTCATGAAAACTGTAGTTTTTCACTGACAAAAATGAAAAAACATCATCATTATTATTATTATTATTATTATGTATGGAAATGTTACATTATTGTATTTTTTTTTAAGATTGCTTCCATGCAGTGAAATGTTCATAAGTGAAGGTTATTATATGCTATATTAATGTGCATCTAACAATATGTGATCTCATTATGGCTTTACCTGACCCAGTAAAAGTGTCAAGCGATCCATCTCCAGTTGTTGTTGTTGTTTCACTGCTGTTCATGGGTTCTGTTTTGACTGCAAGAAGAGACACTACATAGAAGAATAAGTAGACATGAGATTTTACTTCTAAATGTATCCTGGAGTCCTCATGAGAGTCTCACTGGTGGTAGTCCAGCTAGAACAAGCATGCGGTGCATCAGCTTCAACCTTCACTCTACCACCATATTGAGACAATCTGCACTTGCTCGGTCTGAAATGGTCATGCATCTACATAGCTTTCTATCTGTGCACTCCCCTACCTACTGGTTTTAGCAACTGCAGTGTCTTCTGGGGAGATTTCAGCCTAAATCTAATTGATTCTAACAATTCCCTAGGAGTAGCAAAGACGAAGGAAACATTAGCTGTCAAGGGATGTAGCACATAACAAAAATAGTTTTGCCTGACAAGTGAAACAATAATAATATGGTTTCATGCTCATATCGAAGCAAATTACTTTCACAGTGCCAGCATTCTGCCTTTCCCCTTCCCCTTCTACAGAGTCTGTGGAGGGCTTTTTGAGCTAGGTCACCACCAAGCAATTTTTCATAAATGAAAAGAGAAGTTTAAAAGAAAAAAAAAAAAAAAAAAAAAGGCAGAAGAACTACAGTAGGACACAAATGACAACCACAAGTCAGCTTCTGACTCACAGGTTACCAAACGTTTGGGTCTGCTATGAACTCAAACTGTTTCTTAAGAATCATCATGCACTCTTACCATCCAAGCTATTACTGAAAGCACCTCAGAGGCAATCTAGATTTTACAGTTTAGTATGTTACCTGAACAGACCATCTGGCATGGACTTTTGTCATGGAGTTTGGAAACCACCCTTCTAACTTACGTTGTAAAACAGCAGTACAAAACCCACTGGAGCTTTTATTACATGTTTGACTGGCAAATGTGAAAACCTTCAACGTATTATCACAACAGCTTTGTGAAGGTCAGTTTAGTGTGTAAGTGAGAGTTTATCACACATATATCAGCACTGGGCTTATAGATACCACAGAACAGGACACTGCCTGGGGTCACAGAGCAAAGTGGCAATAAGAACCTCTGCAGGCCACTACCATGGCTACATGCCAGTTATTGAAATTCCCAGGACGCATCTTGGGATCTGTGGAGAAGCCCTTGCTGTGACAGCTGGGCTAGCAGAGCACTCCCTGCAGGTCTAACATTGGCCAAGCACAGGCATTTTCTGCCAGTTACCTGATGCCCCAACTTCGCTGCCGCCATGCTTGACTTCACTGGCAATAATAAGGGGAGCAGGGGAATTTCAGCTTCTGAGCTGGCAATGAATTTATAAACCATAGCTCAGATTCAAGTCACCTAATTTCCTTTTATGTTCAGTCAAGAAAGAGAAGTACTTCAGGTAATTCAGTCCAAGCACAGCCTGAGCTGCCCTCGAGTTCAGCATCGCTCTTACAGTCTGTAGGGGAAAAGGTAGTGGATGAGCTAAATAAAGGAATGGGAAACAAATATTCAGAACAACACCTACAGAACCTTTCTGTTGTTTCTCCTTGTGTCTGTGAGCACAACGGGGAGCTCACCGAGAACTGCAGAGCTGCCTGTGATGGGCCCTGTGTGAGTTTCTGATCCTACACCCAATTTCCAGTCACACAGGTTAACTGATCCTTCTTCAGTAAGTCATATGGGGAGTTCAAAAGGATGCCTTGTTTAGATCCAAGTAAGGAAAGTGAGAAATTGGGATGTATTTCTCTTTGTGACAGGGAGAGTGCCCCGAAGTGTCACCAGTGCCCAGGTGCTAATCAAACCAAGTGGCACCTTCTTACACAAATTATACAGTTCTATATTTCCATTTACTGTGCAAGAATTAAAAATACTTGAATGTGTGTCTTTTTAATGTAAACTTCTTTTCATTATCATTTATCTTCAGTAAAACTGCCATACCCACATATTCTCCTTGCAAGCAGGAGGATATTAATTCAATATGAAATCATCAAGGAAGAACTTTAGCTACATTTTTTTCAAACTGTTGTACACATTCTGCCGGCTATTCTGATTTTTTTTTTAAAAAAGCTGTAATAAAAATGACACAAAATGAACAAAGTGGTTCATCAGAATAATCAATCATTTCCATTTCTCTATTTAGATAAGAAAGATGTAATTTTATTTTCGTCAGATCAATAAAATACTCATCAAGAAAAAGCTTAAGGGTCATTTGTCACAAAATAATTGCTTCCACTGAGCATCAGGCCTCTCAGTCATGTGGAAGATTTACTGTTGCCTGAAGTATGAAAAGTAACTAAATTAATTTGTTTTCTGATTACTATAGAGAGATGTCTACATGTACTTCAGTAGGAGAATGAAAAATCATACTAAGTGGGAAAGAGATGCATTTTTCCCTCTAAAGATCTTTAGTCATATTTTTCTTTACAGGGTGCATGTTTCTCTTCTCTGCACAGTATTGACATTTACGTACATGAAAAAAAAGCCTACTTTTTATTATCTTTATCTCTTTCTGTTCAAGAAGGTATTCCCACTATTGCCCATGTTGAGTTACAAGCCTATGTTCAATTTTGCATCCAGAAAGATATTCCAGTCTGTGACTATGTAACTAGTTCTGGTTAATGCCAGCTGCAGTCCACTTCCATCAGCACCAACAGTCACCATCTTTTCCTCTCCCTCTCAAGCAAAAAAGGATCTAAACCAAAAGAAACTCTCTCACATACACTTGAGGAAAAACAGCAAATTGACACTGCATTTTGTTGAAAAATACATGTGAAAGTATATTTATATGTGCCTGATTTTAAACAGTTTTATGCTGTTACACTCAGATTTTATCACAGTAAGGAATTCATCAAGGTTTTTTTCTGTGTTGCTAGAGATTTAGATTATTGTCTTTCTTTATGTCGCGTGTCATTAAAACAAGAGCAGAGAAGGCACAAAACTATCTAAAAAGAAAGAATTCTAACATCAGATCAAAATCTTAGGAACATTTAAAAACTGACACCAATTGAAAACACAGAGTCATCTCTGTTTCCCACATGCAAGATAAAGCGTGGTTCTGATACTACTGCTATGGCAACTACTCTAGACATAATGCAAAGACTAAGAGTTTGAACCAGCATTTTGGATGAATACTTTAAAGACCACACATTTAATACTCTATATTTTAAAGTGTGGATTGTTTTTTTTTTTTCTTTTTCTTTTTTTTTTTTTTTTTTACAAATCAAAAGAGTAAAAATAAAAAGCAATTTCAAGCTGGAAATACATTTGAGTGTTGCTAAAAGTGAAGACCGCACATACTAATAGAGTAGAGCTACCAGGATCATCAAGGGCTGGAGTGTACAATGTACAAGGACAGACAGAAGAAACTGTCCCTGTTCTGCCCTATGAAAAGAAGGCTGAGGGAAAAGCTAATTGCTGCCTGCAGCTGTCTAATGGGAAGGTGGAAAGATGACAAAAAACAAAGACACACTCTTCTCAGAAGGTGCTCTGTGAAAATACAGGAGTCAACAGATACAATCTACAGCAAGGGAAAAATCCAATTAGATCTAAGAGGGAAATTCTTCTCTGTAAGAGTAGTCAGGCCCTGGGACAGATGCCCAGAGAGGCTGTGGCACCTCCATCTTGGAGACACTCAACATTAAACTAGACAATGCCTTGAGCAACATGATCTAACAGCAAAGCTGGCCCTGCTCTGAGCAGAGTTTGGCTGAGTTGACCTCCAGGGATCCCTTCCAAACTTAATTCTTCTAAGATGAACTCAGAATACAGCTCCCTACATGAAACAGCTTCTACAGTATGAGTTCTCTACTTGATCAAAGCACACAGCAGAACAACATGACGAGCACTCTGACAATGTCTATTTTTCCCAAAGAACCTTTCTATCTTAAGGACTGAAACTGAACACAGTTTTAGGAGCAAGAGATGCCACTACTGTGCATGAAGCAGGACAAGCAAGTGCAATAGCTATTAGAGCAAACAAGTCCGACTGGAAGCCCACATAAAACAGTAAACCACACAGCTTGTCACAGGTACAATTCTTCTCTTTTAGTGAGTCTTAAGGGTATATGGGAATGTACTGAACTAGAAGAACAGATCTAAACATTCTACTACCTACAAAAAATCATATTTAATGCACGTAATGCAAGGATTTTTGCATTATGTTTTCTCACTATTAATAATTAGTACTTAAATTATTATCTCCCACATTTACCTGAACATGCTGAACTGAGTGACAGACTAAGTTAGCTCAGTCCTCCCCTAAACTTATTCTTGTGACTGACAAGAAGCATTCATGAGGAATCACTAATTGTAGTGCAAACTGTCTCCTGTGCTCAAGTCTGAATTTTCTTTTGGGTAAATTCTCTCTGGGTATGTGGCTTACAAATGGCAAGCGAATTCTGAGTGTTTTTTTAAAAGGAAAGTTTCTGAGAACTTCCTAACTTTAGTGCAAACCTACACAGCTTAACACCCATGTAACGGATTGTAGAGAGACATGGTGATGCATGTTTACACCTATGATTAATCCCATATGTACTGCAATAGTGTCACATATATAATTATTATTATTAATCTTTATAACTCATAATAATTAATAATACATGAAAGGAAACTCATATATGAAAACAGCAGCTTTAGAATATTTGGCCAGACGTTTGTAAAGTGGCAAGTTACGTGTAGCAGCACACTAGACATAAGGTTCAATTAACAGTGAAAGTAGTAGCAGGAGTAGTAACAATAATGTCAACCTTAATTTGAGCTCAGGTAATCATGCATTGTTGTACCTAAAAATAAAAGAAAAACAAATGGGCATCCTGTGGAAAATCCACTAGTCTGACTTCCAGCAATGCTGACCATTGGCAGTTCCCAGCAATGCTGAGCACCATCAGCCTCTCCCAAGTCTCTCAGAGCATGTAGACAGTCAAGCTAATTTCAGGCAGGTTAAATTCTCCTTGTTCATCAAATGAATTTCACAGTATGGTAAGAAAACCATTTATTGCAACTTTCTATCAGTTTTCTGGCTGTGGGAAGGGCCTCTGAGAAGAGGTGGAAAAAAGAGGTGAGGAAAAAACCCTATGAAAATGTTCAAGCTGCATAACAAAAGAACAGAGCAAACCAAGGGAGATGTTCCACAGCAGCCACAGAGGCACACCACCACACACATGCACTGTACCAGGGACTCTCATACTTGTTGCAGAAGAAGGAGTATTGCAACTCAGCAACCAGTCTGCAGTATTTAACACGGTCATGTTGTCTCCTGAGAACAGGAATGGTATAATGGTTCATTCTCCCAGTATCTGTCCAGTGTACGTGAATAGCCTTCAAGGCAAGTAAGCGTTTTTGCACTTTGAGACAAGTCTTTTAATTTAATTTTAATTCTAATTTATGAGTATTATTTTAACTGGTTTATTTATGCTAGTATAATATAGAGGCATCTAGTTATTAGTGTTCTTTAACGGTACGCTTGAAGTTTTCCCTTCCCTTTATGTTGGAATAAGGACTCTATTTAAAAATATAAATAGGTTGAACCTTAAAGGTTCAGCCCTTCTCTGCAGATCTCTGTTACCCTCTGAAGCACATACACTTTTTATTGGCATTAACAGATACGGTTTTATTGAATAGGGATAAATTGATAAAATGCTTTACATTGTGGACAGAAGAACAAACTAAAAAACAAAAAATTCGTGTTGCAAACTTAAAATAAACTCCAAAAAAGAGGGCTGAAACTCCAGCTTGACTTGTATCAATGATGCCATTCTCACGGACACATAATTGGAATAGGACTCCATCTCATAATGTGGCACCCACTGCTCTAATTCAGCTACAGCAGAATTCACAATCTGAAAGTGTTGGAACATCTGTGTTGTAACTGCATGGTAGTGCTCTCCTTACTGTAATAGATATAGAAGTAATAACCAGTTACTTTTGAGGAAAATCTAAAAAGCTCTTTATGACAAACTTTCATTATCTGCCAAGAAATGGAATTAGCATGTTCATCATACTAAATAAATAAAAAATTACCTAAGCCTCATTTTGATGCAGTTCTTTTGACAGAGATTTTAAATTAACCTAAATGTGTGTAGCTCAGGTTGTACTTCAGCAATGAAGTATGATGCAGAAAATGGAATCTATTTCAAATTACCAATGGGTATAGCCAAACCTTTAACACTGTTCAAATCAACCATTCCAAGATCTTTCTTGTTTCACCTTTGCACAGTTCTGCCTCTTAATTCAACTGGAGCAAACAAAGAATTGTTGTTGGAATTAGATTTACACTGGCACAACTGCCATTTTTTCATAATTCTTTCTAGGTTTATAAATGGGTTTATGCTCATCCTTGAAATTATGCTATAAAAATGCATATGGCTAAAACCTAGACAAAACTTTCTATATGACACCACTATCTTATACTTACCTCCTGTTCCATTTGTTGTAACTGATGTACTACTGAGATTAGGTTTATCCAGTTTGGAACTACCTGGTGCATCACTGCTTCCAACAAGATTATGAGGACTGGCTAGATCTTGCATTTCCATAGACCTGTTAAAGAAGAAGGTGCCAGTATTTAAATGTATTGTGATACTATCTGTAATAATGTGCTTTTACTATAACAACTGTTTTTTACATGGAGAGTTTGTAATGCAGGCAGATTAACAAATCAATATAGGTTCCTTTAAGGCCGCCTTTGATTTTTAAACCAACTTAGGAAAGTAGCTTAAAATTTAGTGTGAATAGCAACAATGCAATTAAATTTTTTTTTAATTTTTCTTTCAGTTATTATGAAGTAAATGACAAAGGCTTACAAAATTTCTCAAAGAGCTTGTAAAAGATGTGCATGAGGGAGGGATAAATGGATAAATACACTTATATTTCCTAGAAAAAAAACAGATAAATTAAGTCTTGTTAGACTGACAATTGCAATCTAATTTGCAGTGTGTGCTCACCTACTCCTTGCTTCATTTTTAAATTATTTACACATATTTTTTCCCCAAAGAAATATTTTTGCTACAGATAACAAAGTTACCAGCCCATCTGCAATGGGAGAACCGTTTACCATATGTGTATTACAAAGGCAAACAGAAAGATTGTCTTACAGAGCTGTAAAAGCCCAACGGCATTGTAGAAGAGTAAAACGGATAGGAAAGAGATGAACAGTTGGGATAGTTCAGTAACAATAACTGCTCCTCTATATTCATATTCTGACCAGGAAAACCAGTGGGAAATCATTAAGTCAATACCAAACATCTCAAGTATTTATTATGAGTTTCACTTTGAAATTGCCTATCTTCTGTGCTCCATACATCCTCCTCTGGGGAATTAAAAAACAACACACAAAACCCCACTGTCTTTCCATCAAATATTGGTTTTCTGTCTGAATCTATTTCTTCTTCCAAGATAAGGAAAAAAACAAATAAACAAACAAAACCCTCCACAACCATACAGGCCATTTCGTGCTCCTAATTTCTTTGATCTCCTGCATGCTTTAGATTTCCTCTCACTGCATTCCTTTAACCCAAAACACAGCTTTTGTATCTTGAGTATGTTCCAGGAAATGTAGGAAATACTACGTCTCAACTGGGAAAATGCACCAAGGCCTTACCCAAAGGCACATGAAGCAAAGAACCTCATTTACTCCAGTGGATGCTCAAATCAAACCCAAGCTGCACCAGTACTCCACTGGCAGAGCAGCATCCCTAGCAGCAACCTTGATGAGCAGGGGCAAACTGATACTGCAGGAGTCCATGCACCAGCAGGTAAGAATTTTATCGCCACATTCAAGGAAATGCAAAGGTATAAACTGACGTTTGAACTGCCTTGACCTAGATTTCTTCATCTAATTGTATGTACATTTTTCCACATCTGTCAGCAGTGCATTATATTTATTGTCTACTGGAAACGTGACCAGTGTTAGATGAAATAAAATGAACTCCAATGGTTTACTAGTTCTTCATTTTTTGTTTAGCAGTTTCTGTACAAGGATAGCACAAAAGGTTAAAAAAAGTCTGTTAGTTTCCATCTCTTATGTATTTAAGGGAGCAGGAGAATGCTACACAAAATAAACACGTGTTTGATTGCATATACAGTGTAATACTCCTCACTTAGCAGTTTAAGTGTCATGATTTCCTGTCCAAGTATCATCAGCCCACAGATACCTAATGGGCAGTTCTGGCTTAGAAAGTTCACATGTGCTTTTTTCTTGTTTAACATGAAAACTACAATATTTTCTTTTCAGACAGGCATATATCATGGCCACAGATGCAAATGCAAATATTTCATAAGGAAAATAATTGATTTACCTAGCTACTTTATTTAAGAAGTATCCATCTTAAGCACTTTTCATACTCAAATGAATCAGATTTTCTCAATCACACCAAATATTCTTAGTCAGAAAACTAAGTCCACTGATTTTAATTTGCTTGGCAAAGAATATAAACAATCAAACTTTGTAAAAGGAGTAGGCTTTGTTCCACATCAGTATGAAACCTTTTGTGCAGAAAAGTATTTTATATACCTTATGTTGTCTTCCACAGCAAATGGCATCCCAGTTCACAGACAAAGGCAACTTAATTAACTAATACTATTTTAAAAGTAGTGCATTTACAAATAGACATTTTCTCTGCCTGAGTAAATGACATCTTGTATTTACTGGTAGTCTATTATGGATAAAAAAAGGATATCCCAATCAATAAAAGGTTTCATAAAACCATGTGCATACATATTCTTATCCTGGGCGCTCTACTCTGTGTGAACAACTAAGGGGATTATTTTAATATATCCCTATGTGATTTATTTATTCAAGTACACATGTTACCTTCTGTGTAACAGATGTCATTCAGTTCACCTTTCTGGATGCATTTAGTTTACCTTTAGCCTAAAAAATTCTTGGGAAGATGTTACTGATCTACTAAAATCTTACAGTTCCAGTGAATGAAGGATTCAGGAAAAATGCTTTATAAAATGGATGAAATAATTCCAACATCTTGAACTGATTTTGTCAAACTAAATGTTTATCAGAGTCCTGCTTTCACTGACTTAATCAGAAGCAGGTTCAGGTTCAATATGTGTTTTCCTGCACTAAAAAAACATAAAGAGTGATCTCTGAAGGACCAATTAATACTACTAAGTTCATGCGGTTATTTATTAAGACTGTTTTCTAGTAAATGCAGTGCGTTTCAATTTAGACAGAATAAAGCCTGTTGTTCAAGCTGTTTAAAGAGCCTGCATCACAAGTAAAAACTGAAAAAAAAAAAAAAAATTCCATTTCTGTTTCTCTGCCAGGCATGTAGCTGTTTGAGCTTTAGTTTTGGCCCTCTTGCATAGTCCCAGACAGTTTTAGAGTAGTTAAGTAAAATGCTAATTGGTATCAAAAGATAAATTTTGAGAGGAAATGGATTACTTGGTGAGGATATGTTTCAATCTTCTCTTGACTGTTTGAAGAACATTAGAGTGATTTCATGCTCCTGAGCAAAATCCTGAAAGCAGGCAAGACAGACTTGTCTTTTATTCTGGTTTGGCTATGCTTTAAGTTTTTGAAAATGGGTATTTGCACATGCTTAGTGGATCATTTTAGAGGCTTACTGGAAAAGTCTCTAAAACATCCCATTTCATAGAACAGTCTCCCAGATCCCCAGTGGCTTTAATTCCAACCTGGATGTGAACCATTCTACCAGACTGAAGTGAGTTTTTATTAAAAAGATGGTTATGTATGAATCCTTGGCCTTCCAGATTAGAGCACGTTTTGTTCCCTGGTTTGACGTGACATCTTTTCAAGAGGTAACCTATGTTCAGAAGCTGGTTAAAAAAGAGCATCCAAAGAGAGAAATTCCCTCTGGGCCCCATGTTTTAGTCAAACAAAACTTGTGATGCAGCCCAGACCACTGAAGTGCACAGCCCAGCAATATAACCCAACCTTGCATAGGAAGATTTAAGTATGGCAAATTATGACTGCCCAATTTAACAACTGCATCCCTGTATTTCTGTATTGCTTTTGTTTCCATTATTGCAAAGGTAAAAACCTCAAGACTTGCTTTTAGGATTGTGTTTTTAAAGTTCTCTATTTTTTTATTTTTTTTCATGACTATCACATACACATTTCCAGAATTAAAATCTATTTCCAGAAAAACTGGGTTTTTCTGACTCTTATCCATTTGCATTTCCACTCCACATGCGGACTAAGAGCTGGGTCCTTCCACAACTTGAAACTCCATTGATAGATTCCACAAGTAGATCATATTTAGAAAATTTTCTGCTTGAAAGAGATTATGTCTTAAAAGGTAAACTTTTTACTACATAATTATTTTTTTCTCTATTTCAAACTTTTTTACTAATGCAATTGTAAGTATGAAATAATTTATGAAGGATTTATAAAAGAATAAATATTCTAATGTGAAAACAGTACTTCAAACCCCAGTCTAACCAGAACATTTTATAAATAATATTTTCTCACTATGCGTAATTTGCAGCAAATCCAATATAGAAGAGATTTAAAGGAAGGACTAGCTAAAAGTTATTTAAAGTTGAACAATTTCATTTAATTTACAAACTAATCAGAATAAAAAAATGTTAAGAGGATTTAAAGAATTTTTCTTTTTAAAATTGGTAGCAAATCCTCCACATAATTTTCTTTAGCAGAATCTTTACTAAACTTCACTGTGGGAAAAATCCACATTATTTGGGGTGAATTTTGTTAGTTTTCTTCCTGCTTTTCTTAGATCTCACGTGTTTTAACTCCAGTTCTTACTTATCCTAAACTTTCCCACAGAAACCTGGAGCCTTGTCTGATTAAGACATCAGACACTTTGGAGCTTCTGAAATTAAACAAACAGGGTATTTCCCTTTATTTAAAATTAACTTGCACAGCAATATGAAAGTTGGGTAACAGAGCCATTCATTCAGCTAAATCGGGTGCCTATTTCTGTTAGCTCAGCTCTCTGACCAACTACACAGTTTTTAAGACAAGTAAGGTGGTTCTTATTCCATTTTCCACAGAAATTTCTTTAGCCAGGTCTTTCAGCCGTGTTCCAGACATGACTAGCAAGCAGTCTGAACTACCTCATACAAGCCTTTCTCTCCAACAAAATTTAGAATGGATGCACAATATACAAATGTCATTAATCCAATAAAATCTACACAAGATCTGCAACAAAGTTCAAAACAACCAATAACAATACATACACCATACTTATAGCATTTTTCCTAGGTTTCGGTTTGTTTGGGTTTTTTAATTAGAAAACTGTATTTTACACAATACATGCACAGCTAGGCCAGGTTTACTTGCATCTACACAAACAGGAACAATGCAATTTAAAAGAAGTTACAGCAACCCTTTAACAGTCCTCAAAGACTACAGTGAGCAGTACGAAAGAAGGTGGAAAGAGAGGATTCTGAATGATGGACAGGTTTCCAAGAAATATACACAGGCATACAAATACATGTACAGTAACATATGGCTACACGCAAACTGTTAGTAATTCCTTGGTGCTAAATATCCACACATACACGTGTATAAGCACATAAATACACAACAAAAAACCTTCCAA